GCACTCTTAATTGCCCAGAATTTTGGCATCACTGGACTGCACAGTGTGTTGTCATACTTATAAATTAATACTTTTCAATTATTTTTGTCCAGGCACTAGGGGCTAGCCTTTGGAGAACTATCCCGAGTTCTCTGAACTTTGCCTGCGATGTTTATTGCAGAGTAGTTATTACGTGGAAAACCCAAGCACGTTAAATTTCCTGATAGAGATTCACGCACCTTCCGTGTGCGGTTTAGAAGGAAGAAAAGGAGCTTTTTCATTGTCAGCTGGGCTTCTGGGTAACCGAGCTAGCTCTGAGTTAGGCAGGAATTGTTTGTGATTCATGGACTGAAGGGTGTTGTGTGTTCTGGTTTCGTAGGAATGTATCGTATCAGGACTCGAGAGGCCAAATCTAGGTCAGAGGCTATATAGATTATTCATGCATTATCATAAACAGTGCAAATTTAGGTCAATGGAAGCTTACTTGGAAATACTACCTTTCTTGCATGTGTAGTGATTATGTTGTTTTTTATTATTGCTATTTATTGGAGTAGTTTCACCATATTTGAGTCAGTTACTATAGCTGAAGGCTAAAGTTAGTGATAGGAAGAAGTGACTTGATGGAAGTCTGCCAGACTTTCTCACTTCTGATGCTCTTGCTTGTTTCCAGAAGAGTTGCAGATATTTCCCTGTAGGGGAAGGAGTGATTCCTAAAAGTGTACCTGAGACTTCTTATGGTAATACCCAGGAAAAAATTGGGTTCCTATGCGTGGGGATGTTTTGGGGTAGCATGTTCCAAGGTTGAGCAGCGGAGCGTTCAGTGCACCTGTGAGATAACATTTGCAGATGTACATCTTGTCAGTGGTTTTATATGAAGATTTCACATCTGATACCGTTTCCGGAGTCTCGGAATAGTGATAATTACTGTCCATAGAACATTGCTGAAGGCTTTGAGAAGCATATGAATGTTAGATTTTATTCTTTTATGACATGCTCAGGCATCTACCTTTTTACGCTCATAGTGTTCCTAACCTTGTTAGCAGTGAGGCTGTGAATGCTAACAGTTTCCCCATTTCTCATGGCGGGCTGGGCAGCTGTGTTGCCTTGGTTTGGAGCTATCATTTTCACTGTGCTGCCTGTCAAAGTTCTGCACAGGAGCGAAATTTGAGGACTGGTCTGCAGATTTAGGCAGATGTATGAACCTATCATGAGAAAGAAACAGGAGTTTATGTAGGACTCACTGAAGAGATAAGGAGCTAAAAAGCATTTGAAATTTAATAGGTACCTTTCCTGTTTTTCCTGCATAACTCAAGACCACAGAACTTAATCTATTTGTTTCTGTAGTGAGTCCACTATCTTGTGTTTGATTAAAGATTGCTTTCGAGAAAAGCATCCAGTCTTGATCTGAAGACATCACAAGGTGTCGGAACCACGGCTTTGCTAGGGAGGTTGTTTCAACTTTTGTAATGATCTTCAGTATTAGCAGTTCTGTTAACCTGTCCAACCAACAGTTTTACAATATCCCACTCTTCAGACCATACCTTTGTAACATTAAGCCCAAATTCATGTTAGCAATTTTTTTTTATGTGTTGACCAAGCACTTGGTGGTTTTGCTTGACTACCACCATGCTCTCTTAAACCCAATTGATCATTCAGTGCTGGTCTGGTAAATCTTGTAACTTTCTGCAGCTTCACAGCATTAATTTCAATCTTAAAACTTCTTTCAATGTGGTACATCTATACTGAACTCTGAAGTGTGAGCAGTTGTTGCTTGTGATGAGGATATAGTTGAAAGAATGCATACTGAAATTATCTGATAGTTCAAAAGGGGTTGGCTTTGGGAAGCACGGAGTGTAGAGAAGCTATTTCCATTGCTTGAAATAAACTTTTAAACTTTTACAGGGTTGGATGGTGCTTTTGGTGGGTTTAGCTTACAAGGTGTATCTCTCTGAAAATAGTTGTCTGGCTTTCCCCCCACCCCATAATTATTTTCTGTTTCCTTCTCCAGCACACAGTTGCAAAGGCCCTTTGGGTGAATGAAGATGGCTGTGGTTTACTTTGGAACGTGTGTGTGCTATTGCTTGCTTAACTGCAGGCTTAAATGTAAAGCAGGATTTTCCCTCGTCTTTACCCAGTGGTTGTGGTGAAGTGGGCTGTATGTGTGATGTTCAGAGATCTGAGAGTGAATTTGTGTCTCCAGCATGATAGGGTATTTCAATTGCATTAGACCAGTAAGTTTTTTTGCACGTGTAAAGTGAATTTTTGTACTTTTGAATAAAGCTACATTTAATGGAATCTGCAGTGAGGAAAGGAGTGCAGTCTCATCAAGTCTTCTCCAATAGTTAGCAATGAAAGGATACAATTGGAAAAAAAAACCAAAAAACCAAGCCAACCCTTAAGTTTTGCAGGATTTTAATATGTCTGGAGAACTAACATGGATTTTTTGCACCCTTGCTTGAAAGGATCAGCACATTCAGTTTCCCAGGAGGTTGAAAGGCAAAGGTGTGTGTTAGAGGTTTGTGTCTATCTTCTTCATATTTTGCTGCCTGGAGATAGCACCAGGTTTGGGAACAGCGGAGCATTTTAAGTCTCCTACATTCAGGAAGGACTGAGTTTAACAAACTTTTCAGTCTTGATTCTTTTAGGTTAAAAGTAGAAGAGAAGAAATAGGAGTCCTACAAGCAGATTCAGTAGTATGCAGAATAGCATTTAAGCTTTGGCATCACTTTAAATATTGGCAGAACTATTGAATATCTGTGTATGTGCAAGGCATGTGATACATATGTCTGGTATTTCTTTACATGCTTTTCCAAATCAGGTTGGGGTAGCCTTTGTTTCCATGTCAGTTTACTAAATGCCTGGAATGGCACTACAAAGTTTACATATTCAATATTGTTTTGTAACAGTGAAGACAGGAAAAACTTGAGTTTTGACAAATTTGAAGGTATAAAGTATTTCCCCAAAAGTACCTCTGCGGACCAGAGTTTTGATCCCTGAAACTGCCTACGTAGAAATATGGAAAATATTGGAATTACTGAAAGAAGAAATAAGTAAGTGAGGAATTTTACATAGAGGAGAAAATATCTCATTAATGCCTTGTACTAAAACAAAGACAACGTGCTGAAGTAGAAAAAAATTGTGATCAAGGGTATTTTTATGCAATATTTTAATGCAGTCATATAAATTGCATTGGAATAAGTTACTGTTGAGATCGGGAACATCTCTCAAGCATTAGACACACGAGTAGGAAGAATATCTGTAGTTCTGTTATATACAGCTGTGGAGGGAGAATATAAACCTTTGTTCTTCAGGGCACAAGCAAACTACTTGGCAGAGCTATTTGTTTATTTTTCTGAATCATCTGGTAGTGAATGAGATAAACCATTGATCTCGTCTGTTGTGGCAGTTCCTATATTATAAAATACTTTTGTCTTTGCCCTTAATTTATTGTGTAATACTTAGGAATACCATTATGTATAATTAATCTAATGAAGTAAGAAACAGTTTTGCCATAAGATTATTCATCCTATTGCAAACATATAAAAAAATGAAACAACAAATCTGATGCTTTCCCTTGAGAAGGTGTCTTTTTATAATATTTTGCTTTCTTTCCATTATTTACAGAGTCCTGAAGCAAATTAGCCTCTTTTACTCAGAGGATATTTGTATATTTGAATTGTTGTTGATAATTCAAACATGTTAATTAATGTGAAGCCTGACAGATCCACGATGTATGTTCTGAAATTTCTGTGGTGGTGTTTCTCAGGTCTGAAGTAACACACCAAAACCGTTTCCTTCCAGCTGTGTTTTTGCCACGTGGGCAAAAATCATTCTCATATTCGCTGTGTCTTATTGCCTTCCGCCACCCTCCCCAATTGAGTCCTTTAAATAAGCCTGTCTGATTTGAAGTGTTGTGATCAATGTTTCATCTGTTTTCAGTCTTTTGCTTCCCTATGGATGGCCTGTTGTGATTTCAAGCTGGATTCCTCATTTTCTTTTCAGATCTTCTGAAAAGGTCTCATTACTTGGCTACCATTTCACTAAATCCTTATCATTTGCAGACATGGCATCATCGGACTCTCTGGCCTCTTTATAAGTCCTGTTTATTCTTTATAAACAGTCGTGTCTGTTCATTCCCTTCCATTCTTATTTCTTTATGCTTGACTGTATCTGAGCTACAGCTAGTAGAGAGAGAACACTCCTATAGTAATCCACTCTTTGTTTCTTTTTCTCAGACCATTACAAATATTTCTTGCTTGTAAAATTTTGTTCCCATCTTGTGGCTCTCTCTCTGGGTACATCAGTTTAAGTTTTTCCCTGTAAGACCTCAGGCTACGTGAGAGTAAATGTCTGCCTTTAGCTTTCTCACTTTTTCTCCTCGTGTTCCATCCAGTTTTGTCTCTAGTTTTGCTCATCTCTTTGTGGGGTCTTACCCATGACTTTTTTTACTTGCCTGCTTTCTTGAAAGCTTTTTTCATGAAGCAAGTGTGAAATCAACATCTGTTATAAATTACTTTATTATGTCAAAGTAAAGTCCCAAAGAGTTTTGCTCTGCCCAGCTTATTCAAGCCGCTAATGCTTATTTAACAGAGTACAAGATTGGCTTTGTGTTCTGTGTAGAGCTGCAGGACTTTGCATAAGTACGGGAGATGTGTGTGTTATTGCATTGTCATGGATGTCTGTCCTGGTACCCTAACGCTTTATCTTCCTGTGAACTTGCATAGACTGGAAAAAAACAAGGAATGTGCCTTGGCAAAGTTGTCTCTTGCTTCACAGATGCCTTGTTATAACGAACTGTCTGCTCTCATGGTCTTGGAAATGCACTCTGTGGAAAAGTGTCTTCCTCTTGTCAAAATAACTGTATTTATCTGCATGCACAGAACAAAAATCTGAAAGAGTTTCTTGCATCTCTGCAGGCCTCCTGCTTGACTAGGGCCAACTGGATGTTTCATCTGAGGAAGAGAATGATTCTGAGGGGCTGGAGATTAATTTGAATTACTTCTATTTTCAGGATTGTCAGGATGGTGGATAAGAACATTTACATTGTGCAAGGTGAAATCAACGCGGTGGTGGGAGCCATAAAGCGTAATGCCCGATGGAGCACTCACACACATCTGGTAAGTTACCTTGAATTGTTGCTACCTGTTCAGGCTACGGCAGAAACTACCTGGTTTCAGAAAAGTACTTTGGGGTTTTTTTGCACTCATTATAGTGCTTTTGTAAGTAAAGTTCGAATAACTTGTCTACGTTGTTTCATGCTGAGCAGTTTTGGCTTTTTGCGTGCCAGCGACTGTAAAAGGTACAAAGCTGGAAATCTTCCACCTATACACCCTGTAAACAAACAAAAAACCCACATTGTATTCCACGTGGGAATCATCTCATTTCGACTTTTATCGCCTGGTATGTCAGGGATGTTGAATATATAGTGTTATTTTATTTAGCACAATGTTTTTATGTATCTTTTGTGCCATCTTAGAAAAGACAGTCTTCACTATGAAAGCCATGAAATAAAAATTGGGGAAGTCATTATATGTAGGGTGTTTTTTAATTTTTCATATGGCATAGTATCTTTTTTTAGCTCTGTTTTGCGACTGCTAGCTATATCTCTGACTGAAAGCTGTTAATAGTTTCAAACCTGTTTTGTTAAAAGCCACGAATACAATGTTTCCAAGTCTAATGATGCTATATGTGTTGGTCGGTTTATGGCTTCCGCGGTGTAAATGTGTGCATGTGGTGTACTGTGTCTGTGGTGCACTTCAGAATGTCACATGAATAGCAGATGGCTGTCATCCAGCACAAGTGGTTTCAGTTTGTCAAAGGGCAGGGCCCGTTTTCTTTCTAACAGGCATTTCTTCATGAGAGCTCACTGCCACCCAGTAGGAGGTGTGGCTGTGGATGTACCCAGCTTGGAGAAACTGCTGCTCCTCCTTATTTTAATATTGTAAAGATAGACTAAGACTGAAGGATGCAGCTATTCATATACATTTTGCACTGTGATTCTTTCTTCAAGTTATTTTAATGGCACCAAATGTCATTGTATTTCTGTGCCCATTACGATCTGCATAGATTAACATTATAGCAAATCCAGATGAGCCATTTCAATATGGTATGAGGTAGATTTGCTCTGAAATTTATTGAACAGCGGAAGGCTAATCAGAAATACTTCTAAGGACAATAAAACCAAACCAGAATGCTCAGTCTTGAACCTATGCTTTGACATTTGAGCTGTATGCCGTTGGGGAGCACTAGCAGGAAAATAAAAATGCTTCTCTTGATTTTGATGGAGTAAATGGGCTGACAGTGATAAGCTCAACCCACAGTACTTCTGTGAATATGAAGGCAAGGTCTTTACAGACCCATTATTAAGATTTGTCTTCAGGAATATATTTGCCTCATTAATAACTTCCTTCCTATGTTATAACCTATAGGATGAAGAAAGGGATCCCCTGCTGCATAGCTTTAGCCTCTTAAAAGAAGTGCTGAATAATATAACAGGTAAGCTTATACAGAAATCAGCAGGTACCTGCTAGGGTATATGCAAGTAAATGTACAGGTGTACTTGTTTGTCTTATTTACTATCCAGAGGTTGAATATTGAATAACAAGAAAAGAGCAAATATGTATATACCTTTAGACAAGTAATACTAATGTAAACTAGTACACAAATACCACTGCTGCCACTCTCTGGAGATACAAGTATGTATGTGTGTGTGTATGTATCTATATATATATATTTGTGTGTGTGTGTGTATACACACACATTTTTGTATATAAATATGCATGTTTCTTCAACATACTGGAGCTTGTAGTAATATATGAAATCTGGTGTATTATTATGCATAGTCTTTCTATCCTTTGTGCTTTCTGATCTGTGAATGATAGGAAAAATCTGCTTAGAAAGTAGCTGCTATTATCTATTTTCTCCTCACATTCTTTGGTTTCTTGGTTTTCATTATCTGTTATCAGTAACAAGTGAAGCACAGACTTCACTTTCCATTTGGGTCTCTTGAATCTTGAAGTGAAAGGCTTACTTTGTGACCAGTTGCACTGAAAGGAACTGGAAATCTATATCGATTACAGAAGTAGAACACAAGACTGTGATGGGTATTCTGACCAGGTTTTTTTTCTCCCAACACGTCTTTCTCCCCTTTCCCCCCACATTTTCTCTTTTTCTAGTTTCAGGAGTGATTGTTAAAGTGTAACCTAAGTATACGTTGAGAGTCTGGAAGTGATGCTAATCCTGAGCTGCATGTGCATTCTGCTGGTTCTTCCCAGGATTTGTCTTACTGATTGTAATATTTGAAAGTAAGCTTTTTTTCTGGTCCCTTTATTACAATGAGTGTTCAGAACTGCACTCAACCTAAGTTTGAGATGGACTTTTTGCATTTCTAATTGCGAAGCATGCCCATTCTTGTGTCAGCGCTGAGCCTGGAATCCCATAAAAAGTATGTTTCCTAGAAGTACAGTATTGCCACTTCCAGGTGCTGATGAGAGGTGCTGAGGACATGTGCCAGTTCTGAGCCTGTATTCCTTCCTCTTTTGTGGCTGCCTCTAAGTGTAATGCTTTACTTTTCTTTGGCACGTGAACTTCCCTTGGTTGTGAGCAGGACTCTTCTGTCAGGTTATGACATCTTAGGGAACATTTCTGGATAGTATCTTTGTTCTAGATGTTATGCTTGTACCCAGACTACATGACAGTCTGGATTTGTGGGTTTTTGTGAACTCACCGATCTTCTGTAGGATATGCAGACAGTCACCAAAAGTGTTTTGGGAGGAAATTTTCCTTCTCTCCCTTCTATGAAATAAAATTTTCTTTAAAATAAGACTCCTGATGTTCTTCACCATTATTGCAAATATCTGTTCTCATCAACAAGAGCAGGGAATGTCAGGATGCTCAAATAAATGCGGTAGGAGTAAATGTCAGGGACTGGCCATTTATCTAGAGTAGCTAGATACAATGTGCTGTTGACTTGTTGGGGAAAAAATGCAAGCCCGCTATCTGCTTGTGTTAGAGAAAGGGAAATTTAATGTACTGAGAGATTCAGAGACTCCCTGTGAGTATTAGCCATCATGTAAGTGTGGTTCATGCTGAGGTAATAATTGCTCATATGTGGTGATGACAGCGAGTTGGTTTGACTACATGGGGTTCTTTTAAACAGGTCATTTCAGCTTCAGTGACTGCTATTTACCCACTAGTGTCTTGAGATAGGACATCATTGCTATGCTCCATTTTTTTTCAGTTTTAGACATGGACTCGTTCCCAAGCAATACTTTGAATGATATAGAGTCTCCTGCCTCATCTTCCAGGCACTGAGAAGTCCAAGCTTAGGGTTTTTTGTGGGTGGTTTGTTTTTTTTTTTTTTTTCCCCCCGCCTAGACCTTCCTTTCATGTCTCTTTCATTAGCTCATGGAAACGCATTGCTTTTATATTTAAATTTATTCAAGCTGTAATCTTTGACATTTGAGTTAGCTTTTAGTACCCCCCCGCCTAGACCTTCCTTTCATGTCTCTTTCATTAGCTCATGGAAACGCATTGCTTTTATATTTAAATTTATTCAAGCTGTAATCTTTGACATTTGAGTTAGCTTTTAGTACAATTTTGCATTTATAGTAATATATATTATGTATTTTCTCAATCCCCCAAGAACCCATTTTAATCTGTTCCGGATGCAAATTTCAGGCTGCCTTGTCCCATCTCCCCTCTTGCTCTCGCCCTCCCTTCCCCTCCCCCATGGAGCATGTTTGATCAGGTGTGGCAGGAATATCCACTGTCAAGCTGCGCCCTTTATATTAGTCAATATTATCCTTCCTTCCCTCCCACTCCCTTCATTCTCCTCTGGGCTTTACCAGTTGATTTATAATTTTGGAATTCTCATCGGAGTCTGTAATACAGTTTGTTCATTATTTAACCAAAACCTGTTTAATGAGCAAAGAGAGGCAATGTAAATGTTAGGCATGTTGCAGTGGAGTACCTTTTGTTCTCCTCTGAGCTAGTGGGTATTAACTCTGTCATGACTGTGATGCTGAAATACCCTGGTCAAGGGTATAAAGATGCACTGTATGCCTCCAGCACCTAGAGATTCCCATTTCAAAGTATTGCTCCTCAAGAGTAACTAAATTACATAATGTGTTCTATTTGATTACCAAAATAGTAAAAGCTCGCCTCCAACTAAGTAGTGGTTTTCCATCCCATTGTAATGTCTAAATGGGCTTTTGAAGGAAGCATCTAGAGAAGATGCTGTTGCTCAGCACAAACAATCCCATGATTATGGTAAGAGTAACTGCACTTCTACGGTT